AAAATATATTCAGAGCCTTTTCAACAGCAAAGACTCGTTTTCTAGCAGAAAGGATTTTGCTGGAGACTTATCTCAGCTTGGGGAATAAAATCCCCCCCCCAACTCCACTCTCTTCAGGCTTTCTGTTTCGCTAAGAGGGGGAAAATACATTTCAAAGAGGTCAGGGCTTTATGGAAATAGTTTGGTAACACTGTCTCCAGGGAAGGGAGAAGGGAGCAAGGAGAAAAAAAAATGTATCATTAGAGGAACACTGGTGACGGTCACATTGCCAGGACACAGGGCCACTAAAGGACAGATTTAATTGGAAGATTATAGAAATTTCCCTCTTCCCCATACCTTAGCACTATACCATGAAATCTCCAGTTTGTTAATAGTGTAGTATAAATGAAAAAGCTGCATGGAATAGAATATCACTGAGGAGGAATATTTAGGGAAACACAAAGTCAGAAAGGGAGACAAAAACAAGTACACTGGAGGACTTTGAACTCTCTTGTACCTATAGCTATAGGAAACATTAAACATAGCCTAATATCTAGCTGGATTAACATAAATCCTGACACTGAAAACCTATTTACCTCAGTTCCTATTCCCAATACAATATGCTTGATTTGTTGTGAAAAATTACAAGGCATACCAAAAACAATGAATAAACAGCAGTCTGGATAGACAAAGCAATCACTAGAACCAAACTCAGATATGACACAGATGCTGGGAATATCAGTAAATTTTAAATAACTGTCAGTGTTATGATAAAAACTTAAATGGAAAAAGTAGTCAACATGTAAGAATAAATGGGTAATGCAAGCAAAGAGATAAAAACTCTAAGAAAGAATTGGTAGAAAAAGCTAGAAATCAAAACACTGCAATTGAAATGAAGAATGCTTTTGAAGGGCTCATCAGTAAACTGGAAAAAGCCTAGAGAGAATCACTGAGCTTGAAGATAGGTCATTGGGAATTTTCCAAACTAAAATACAAAGAGAATGAAATAAAAATGAAAACAGAACATCTGAGAACATGAGATAATATCAAAATGTGGATCATACACATAATTGGAATACAAGGAGAATATAGGGAGAATAAGCAGAAGAAATATTTGAAGTCCTATAATAATGGGTAAGAACTTTAGCAAATTAATGACAGACACTAAACTATAGATCCAGAAGGTTCAGAGAGAACCAAGCAAGAAAAATGCCAACACACTCACACACACATACACTCACACACACATATCATATCAATGACATGGCATATCATATTCAAATGACAGAATACTAACAAAAAAGGGAAAATTTAGAAAGTAAGTTCTGGTGGTCTTATGTATAAAAGAACAGAAATAAGAATTGCAGTGGACTTCTCATCATAAACCATGTGAATAAATATAGAGGGGAGAGAAATATTTAAAGTATTGAAAGAAAAATATCACCATTCAAACTAGAATTCTATAATCCAGTGAAATTATCCTTCAAAAGTTAAAAGAAGACTTTCTCAGAGAAAAGCTAGGGGAATTCTTCACCAGCAGATGTAACCTGCAAAAAATATTAAGTTCTTAACCAAAATTTTCATAAACATAAGTGTACAAATCCTCAACAAAATATTAGTGAATCAAATCCAGCAATATATAAAATGAAATACAGTAATCTTCTCTTATCCGCAGTTTCACTTTCCACAGTTTCAGTCACCTGAAGTACAATACAATGAGATATTCTGAGAGAGATTTACATAACTCTTATTATAGTATAGTTTTATAATTGTTCTATTTTATTATTTTTGTTGTTAATCTCTTACTGTATGTAATTTATAAATTAAACTTTATCATTGGCATGAATTTATAGGAAAAAACTCACTACATATAGGGTTAAGTACTACTCAGGCTTTCAGGCATCTACTGAGGGTCTGGGAACATATCTCCTGCAGATAAGGAGGGACTATTCTATACACCACAAAGAGTGGGATTTATTCCAAGTATGCAAGGCTTGTTCAATCTTCAAAAATTGATTAATCTATCAACTCACCAGGCTAAAAGAAGAAAAATCATATGATCATATCAGCAGATGCAGAAAAAGCACTAGACAAACTTCAACACATTTATGATAAAAATTCCTCAGCAAACAAGAAATAGAAGGTAACTGCCTCAACTTGATAACAAACATCCATAAAAGAATCTACAGCTATACTTCATGGTGAGGAACTTGAAGCTTCCCCCCAGGGATCAGGAAAAAGGAGAAAATATCTTTTTTTTACCATTCCTATTCAATGTCATACTGGAAGTCCTAGTTAATGTAATAAGATAAGAAAAGGAAATATAAGATAATCAGATTGGGAAGAAAGAAATAAAATTTGCTTTTTTTATTTTGTAGAAGACCTGATCGTTTGTGTAGAAAATCCTAAAGAGTCAACAAAATACCTCTTAGAACTAATAAGTGATTAGCACAATTTCAGGATACAAGGTTAATACACAGGAAAAGTCAATAAAAGTCAACATACTAGCAATGAACAATTGAAATTTGACATTCAAAACACATCATTTACATTAGCACCAAAATTATACATAGGTATAAATCTAAGAATATATATTTACAGGATCTATATGAGGAAAGCTATAAAATTCTGACTAAAAATCAAGAAGATAAAAATAAATGGAGAGATATTCCATGTATACAGATAGAAAGACTCCATATTGTTAAGGTGTCACTTCTTCCCAGCTTAATCTGTAGATTCAACACAATCCCAATGAAACTCTCAGGAAGTTTTTTTGTGGGTATTGGCAAAATTTCTAAAGCAGCTTTATTCATAATTGCTAAATCTTGGTGGCAAACAAGATATTCTTTAATAGGTGACTGGAAAAACAACAGTGGCACATACATACAATGGAATGCTATTCAGAAATTTTAAAAAATGCATTATCAATTCACAATAAAATAGGGAGGAAACATAGATGCATATTGCTAAGTGAAAAGCCAGTTCGAAAAAGCTACACACTATATGATTCTCTCTACACGACAGTCAGGAAAAGGCAAAACTACACATACACAATAAAAAGATCAGTGGTTGCTAGAGGTGCAGAAGAAGGCAGGGAGGGATGAAAAGGTGAAACTCGAAAGATTTTTAGGACAGTTAGACTATTCCGTATATTATTGTAATAATGGATGCATGACATATATTTGCCAAAACCCATAGAACCATACGACAGAAAGAGTGAATATGAATATAAACTATAGATTTTAGTAATAACCACTTCAGTACAGTGCTCACGGGCCATGAAACCTTGCCCACAGCTCGCACTCATAGTCCACACGATAGTTTGTGCTGTGTATTGATGACGAATCCGTTTTGATCTTGTGTGATGAGGAAAGTTTCAAATCACTGAAAGCTTGTTTTACTTCACAGGCAGCTTTCCTTGTAATGTAAATCAGAATAGGTAACATACACATATATGTTTTCATTACGTTTTTTTTAAATATTCACAATTTTATTTTGATAAATGAAAAATTAGAAAAGTCACATCACGGCTGTCAGCTAAAGTCAACGCTTGGCTGTACGCCTTCATATCACGGCTGCCCTTCATATCCCGGTTGTCAGCTAAAGTCAACAATCGGTTCATCCATGGCTATTGACTATAGTTGATGCTGGTACCCAAGTGGTTAATAATGTATTGCACTTAGCTCATTAATTGAGAGAAATGTACCATACTAATATGTTAATAGCAGAGAAAACTCAGGGTAGGGTATATGAGAACTCTCTGTACTATCTTTATTGTGGGGCGCGGTGTCAATGCCATTACAAGATGGCGCCTGTTTCCGGCTTTGCCTAGAGCAGTAAACAAGTTCAGCGCACGCGCAATTGTCGGTTACCCTGTGGCGCAAGCATGCAAATGAAGGATCCTACTATGGACCAATGCTTTGGCGACTCGACAGCTGAGCGGCCTATCCCAGCTTAGGGGTTGTGCTTCTAGGGTATATAGCAGCCTGCGTGCTGCCGGGCTGGGTCTTCCGCATCATGTAAGTCTAAAGGGAACCCCATTAAAGCACTGTCAGAAGAACTCCGGTTGCCGCGTCTTCCTTGCTGGCGAGGCGGGCGCGACACTTTATAACTTTTCTATAAATCTAAAACTATTCCACATTACAAAGGTTATTAAAAATACCTGGCATGTATTGAGTTTTCAAGAAATATGAGTTCCCTTTTACCATATTGACTATATCATACATAGCCTAAATTCAATTCAGTACAGTTGCTGTTTGTAGGAGATGATTGTGGAAGAAAGTTTTCTAATAAATTAAATATACAATTTAATAAAGTATAATCATATAATATAAAATGATAACAGATTAAAAGATTAATAATTGACAGTTAAGTAAATCTTTATTGCACACAATTTAATTTTTTTGATGATTCAGATGGCACTTGGGCATCTTTGAAAGCCTCTAAGACATCATTATGAGCATTAATTATTTCTATGAGAATGACAAGCAGAAGTTCACTAATAGAGACCTCTTATTATGAGAATGCCAATTTTAATTTGTTTAAGAGTATAGATTCATCAAGGGCATACCAGATTTTTAAAATTATACACAGAAAAAATCAATCTGCATAACAAAATAAAGGTTGCTCCCAGAACACTCTAATTTGAAAAGTTAACTGTATTAGCATTTTCCTATATTAGTTATTTGCCTGAACTAAAAGAGCTGAACAAAGGATTTAAGAACCAGAGATAGTAAAAAATAAATAGGAAAGCCATTGTTGTCATCTTGGATAAAGAAGGACACATTGCTTGTAGATTTTGCCTGAGTCTGTGCTGCAACATGCTAACTCATGGTAACATAGCAGGATTCCTTTGAATTGCTCAATGGGTGGGGTGACAAAGCTCTTTGAACTCCAGTTCCCTAGAATATCTTGCTACTCTGTGTGATAACTTAACAAGTGTTTATCCCTGCCATAATATAGAAACTCATACATTTTTTCCAAAGAGGATTTTCATTTTTTTCTCTTTCTGAATGCTGCAGGAACACAAAAAAGAATCTTGAGATGGGGCACAAAATAAACTGGGTAAACATGAGGAATTAAAGTTCATGTGAGATCTAAGAGGATTACATCTGCTGCCAACTTTGAGACCACCAAAATCCAGAGCAATTTTCTTTGTGGGTTTGGAGGTAAGATTTCAGTTGAGAGGAAAACTGTCATAGAATTTTGCAAGTCAGAAGGTGGGAAGATTCTAATTCAGGAAAAGAAACCCTTTATTTGTGAAATTGTGCTGACTCAACGGGGCCTTTGTCAATTATAAAGAACCTTAATTTGGTTTATCAAACCAAGCTCCATTCATTTGACCAAATACCAAGTACACTGATCCTATAAAATGATGCTAGGCTTCTCTGTACCAAAAAAATCAGTGATTCAATTAAATGGAAACAGATTATCTCATATCTCCAAGCCAAATACGTTTAGTCCTTTAAAATGCCCATTTAATAGTGAAGGAATTAGAGGAGGTAGTCAGGGAATGAGTCTCTTCCCAATTCTCTAGTTAGAGGACAGTTGTAATTCTTTCAATTAAAATAAAAAAAAAAAAAAGAAAGAAAGAAAGAAAAGAGACTTAGAGATCATCGCCTCCTTTAGCCATTCAGGGAATCTATAATAGTTAATGTTTCTCTCTGCAAGATTGTGCTCATCCTTATCCTTAGCCATCAGGAGCAAGAATATAACTTGCAGACAGTTTGATTTCACCATAAAATGTATTTGGACACACAATTAAAAAATATAGTCTCTTTAGCTCAAAGGCAGATAAGCAACTAGCCATAAAACAATGCTCTATGAACCCACAGACACAAAAAATAATTATTTTCTAGTCACTAAGCCAATATTTAAAACTATTAATATTAATATATCTCTTTTAGCTTCCCTTGCCATTTTCGATAAGGTCTGTGTTTTTATCCAACTTAATGTTGTAAAAGCTAGTTAAATCAACAAATTATCAAGACCCTTTTCTTACTGTTCTAGTTAAGGGTTTGACCCTGTTTATATTTTAAGCCTATTTGCATTAATGCAAAAAATCTTTCTGTACTTCTACAATCAGTGTTTACTTATCTTTTTCCAAGTTATTTGGATACCAGCCTAAAAATCTCTTGCAATTCACCATCAGTGGATTTAGCAGCCACTTTTTCCTGCAAACTGTGTAATAGACCACCTGATTTTATTTTAATTTATTCAGGGGCTTTTCCATAACAGGATGTCTGTGCTAAGAAAGAGAATATGCTGTAGTGATAAGAGCACAGAATTCAGGGTTTTTAAAAACTGTGTTGCTTGAAGCACTGGGCTTCTGTGGAAATGATTAAAGTTTTGCTACAAAAGATATAATGGAAGTTGAGAGGACAGAGCTTGTGTCTCTGCCAGAGCATGGCCCTCACTTTAGTTAGAAGCTTCATTTCTTTCTTATATTGAGACTTCATGTTAGATTTCATTTAAATAAAAAGATTTCAGTGCTTATAAAAAGGAATGAAAAGTCACTGTTATTTCAAACTCTATTCCTTATTTCTATGTGTATCCAAATAGAGCCTCAACCTAGATCCTTGTCCTTACACTCAAGCTTGTCAGCTCCCGGTGCCCTGAATCTCTGATCAACACTTGGATGGCTCTTATGCTAGAATTTGTACTTGGCTTTGAGTTCTGAAAACTCACCTTAACTTTTCTACCCAGACTCTGAATCTCATTTGCCACTATCTTGTGTGTGATTCTAATAAAATAATCTAACTCTAGTTTTGTTCTATTACTTTATATATTTTTTCCATTTTTTGAAGTTCTTTTTGATGGAAGGACATCTACTTAGAGGTTTTCCTTTTGTTCCTCCCATTACTATAGATAAATGGTTTATGGAACTCTAGCTGATTTTCTGTATCCTGCTTGGCTAGAGTTTCTTATGGGCCTGGATAGGGGTCTATACCCCAGTTAAAATTTTCATATAACCCATTTTCCTTTTAAAATGTCAGTATTTTGACAAATTCAGAGCTACAAAAGTTAAGTGCTTGTTTGGGCTCCAGAAAGTCAAGATGGTAATAAAATGTCTGAGGGTGCTATTAACCACAATATAGCAAATAATATGATACCATGCATCACCTGTGCTGTGTTATTGTTTGAATTGTGTATCCCCTCCCCCATAGTATGGTGAAGTCCTAGACTCAAGTACTTGTGAATGTGACCTTATTTGGTTGTAATTAAAATATAAGTTAAGTTCAGGTCATACTAGAATACAGTAGGTTCTTAATGTACTATGACTTAGAAGAAAAATATAAAAGACACAGACAGAGAGAAAGAACACCATGTGATGACAGAGGCAGAGGTCAGAGTGATGTATCTGTGGAAATACCAAAAGCTAAGAGAAAAGCATGGAACAGATTCTCCCTTAGAGCCTTCACAAAGAGCATGACTTTACCAATATCTTAATTTAGAAATTCTGGCCTCTAGAACCATGACAGAATAACTTTCTATTGTTTTAAGAAAAAAAATAGAGTTTTGGAAAGAATTCATAGTAAGAGCCTTCCCTCTCACTGAAAATTCATGATTCAGGATACCTGTGGTCTATGTTAAAGTAGGTCAAAAAGAACAGTTTTTAAAAGGGCTTGATAAAGTCTCCTATAGTTTCTCTTGACTTCAGACATACAAAAACAATTTCCAAGATTCAATGATTGAATAGTGACTTGGATTTTTTGTTCTTGTTATTGTTACCCCCAGTATTCTCAGGCATTCACAACTTTCAGGTCCTATAGAATGGTACCCTTATTGCAATTATTTGTTTACAAGTTGCCTCTCTGGACTGTAAGATGGCCAATAAATGTTATTTGAGCAGAACTGAGCTTGCATGGCCTGAAGGATTTTAGTGCAGTTTTAGAACTCCCATGTTGCTCTAAAACCATTGCCAAGTACTGACCAGGAAATCAAGCTTACCAAGTCTTCAACAAAAGTGTTCTAGGAATATAGAGGTGTCAATAAAATGTTATGCTTTTAACCAAGATGTTCCTTTCTCAAGTACTCTATAAAGTACTTATCATGAGCTAATGCAATCGTTAAGAAAACACTGCATTTCCTCTGAATAACACTATGTTTGGGATGAAGATTCTGCACAAGTTAACCCTAGCTTTTGAAAGTAATGTGTGCAATTTAAGCAATCAGTAGGACAGACACTTCCCCAAAATGGAGAAAGGTATTACTTATTGCAATTCTAATAGTGATTCTGCAGAGATTCACCATAGAAAAAGATCATTCCAAGCATTATGAATTTCACTCTTCTATGTTTAAACCAGGAGCAGAGTTTTATATGACTGTGATTCACATGAGTATATACTTGATGCAGCCTTCCAAGTGTTGATAAAACTAATTCAGAAGGTAGAGGAATCAGGCAGCCGGATTTTGCCTTTCTTCTTTCTTTTCCCGTCTTCTTTATCCTTTTCTTTTCTTTATGATATAGAACCTTAGGGTAATCAAATAACTTTTCATAACCAGTTAATCTATTTGCCTGCTAGAGAAAGCAGAAAATATTAGGTGTTTGTTTGTTTGTTTTTCCTGGAGCTTATGGATAGATACTTGAATTGATAAGAATAAAGTACAGTGCTATGTTATGAAATCGAATGCTGAGGCTAACCTCATCCCACTGTCAATTCACGAAGCAATGAATAAAAATAATTGTGGTATAGTGAGTCATCCTAAGTTTAAATTTATCACTATTTTATTGTTTTATATTTGTGTATCAGTCACGGTTTGACCAGACATATGGAACTGATAGGAGGGAGGTGTATATAAAAAGATTTATTGCAAGGCAATGATTTACAGAATTGTGGGGACTGTCGAAGCAAGTCTGAAGCAAGCAAGCCTGAAAGCAAGTCAAAGCAGGCTGGAATGCTCTGGGATGAGCTGAAGTTGGTTGCTATCACGGGTGGAATTTCTTTTTGCTCAAGGAAACCTCAGCCGTGCTCTCAAGGCCTTTCCATTGATTGAATCAGGCCCACTCAGATTATCTAGGATAATCTCCTTTACTTATAGTCAACTAGTTATGAACTTTAATCATATTCACAAAATAACAGCTAGACTAGTATTTGATTGAATAACTGGGTATGGTGCCTGGCCCAGCTGACACATAAAATTGATCATCACAATTTATGAGACAACATTCTTCATTTTCCATACTAGTTTAGTAATAATGGATAGTTATATATTCTCTAAGTAAAATAAAAAGTTGAAAAATTTTTAATTGGTCTCAAAATAATTTTCTGAAATTTTTTCCTGTCCTTGAAAGCTAACAGCCTACAAGGCACTGCTGAAACATATTATGCTTCCCCACATTCCCATTTCACAAATGAAAAGATACTGAGGGCCAGAAAAATGCTTTATTAAGAAAACATGAGTGGTATATATTCCTCAGTTTTGTTGAGTTTAATTTCCTCATATGTTGGCTTACCTATTGCCTTTTAGATTAAGTTATACTGTATTATCTTTCTATTGCTGCATAGCAAATTATAACATTAATTACCTCAGAGTTTCAGGAGTTGGGACTGAGATCCTCTACTCAGGACCTCACCTGGCTGAAATCAAGGTGTCTGCAGGGGCTATGATGTCATCTGGATTGCAGAGTTCTCTTATCTATTCACTTGTTTTTGATGGAATTTAATTCCTTGTGGTTGTAGGACTGAAGTCTTTGGCTTCTCATGCTGCCCATCATTCCCTGAGATCTAGCTTTCTCCACAAGTCAGATTGCTTCTTGAAGACGGGCAAGAGAGAGAGAGAGCGAGAGTCTTTGATAGTTTGGATCATTCTGACTTCTTCCACCTCTGACCTCTAAAGCATCCTTTGGAGAGGCCAAGACAGCAGACTACAAGCAGCCTGCATAACACCATTCTCATGGATAGGATGGAAAATAGTGAATAGATACTCACCTTTGGATTAATATTTGAGCGAGAGCACTGGGAATCCATGTAGAGAGGGAAGTAAAGATAGAAATGGGACTAGCTGCTCAGCAGACTGGAAGTAATTAGGGAAGGCACCTACATGTAGGAAAGGGAAAGAGGAGAGAATCCCAGACTCCAGGGGCAGGAGGCCTCTCCACTGCAGCAGGCCTCCAGACTGATAACAGAGACCTGACTGGAGGCTGTGTAGCTGCATTGCTATAGAG